TCTGCCCAACCCCCTCACTGCCTGCTAAGTGAGATGATCTGAATCAACAAGTCAGTCACATCAGCCACTTTCTCCCAAGAGAGGAGTCTTTAAATAACAAAGATGCCCAAGCGCCTTTGCAAGCCTATTTTATAGACTCACCACTTTCTGACCATGTTACCTTCAAACTCGTGAAACCCTTGGGTTCCAGCCCTGCTGATCACCAAACGTCCACTGCAGGTATTGGAGGTGGAAAATACAGGATTCATTCTCTTCATGCAGGAGGCCAAGCGGCTGCCCCTGATTCTGACCCCTGGGCCCAGGCTCCTTGCATGGCTCCCTACAGTCTCTTGTGAACAGGGAATATTATTTCTTGGCTTTTAATCTCTTTTACCCATCTGGCTTTGGAGATACAAGGTTATCCTTGCTTCTGAGTGTTTTGTTTTGTTTGCTTTTGTTTTTCAGGATCTCTAGAGCACAGTGTTATCCCATCAGTTGTCTGGTAACTCCAAACCTACCAGCCGGCACTAAACTAACTCACAATTCTGGCACTTTTGTTATTTCCCACTGATACTTTTTTCCCTCTGAGTGTCCATCAGGTGGTTTAGGGGAAATTGGGAAGGGAAGGGATGAGACTATCGATAGCCCTCTGTGATGAGACGATACAGTTTACTTCACTAAAGTATGGAGGAGCCGATGATAAAGAAATAATCCTTGTTGACATGAAGTATTGACACAATAGCCACACAAACCACATTCAATATCTCTCTAAACCAGCTGCTTGCTTGCTTTGGGGGGCAATGCAATTACTGCTACTACGATTTGATGAACAATCCCCTCTTTATTCCACCTCCATTAATGGCTTAGTTAATAAGCTAGCAGGGTTCTGTTCCAGGCAGAGAGGAATCTGCAAGTCAGAAGCTTTCCAAATGGACTGGACATGGGTAGGTCGATTGTACACATCCCCAGTCACCTTGCTAACAGCCCTCTGGTTCCAGAAATGTCATTAAAGAAACACACGAACCCCTAAATGTGACCTACCTCCTCACCACCCTCTACACACCTTCTCTATCCTTCAGGCACACTCTATACTTAGAGGGATGTGGCCTGTTCCTTTAAAGAAACACACGAACCCCTAAATGTGACCCCCTACCTCCTCACCACCCTCTGCACACCTTCTCCATCCTTCAGGCACACTCTATACTTAGAGGGATGTGGCCAGGAGAGAGTTAGACTATTTAGTGTGATGCAATACAGCCTGCTCAACTTTTGCATAGCAATTCAGCAAACACAGTTTTTAAGCATTCAATTCTACTTCTACAGCTTCTTAAAATTCCCTGCAATATAATTATACTGATGGGAATGCAGAAAGATAATTGCTTTTAGAGGAAAGTTTCTCCTTTGTTCCATGTTCATCTGGCTTCCAGAAATGGAACAAGGGCCCTTGAACAGCAGAAATACGCATCCATGTGTCTCTAGTTATCATTTATTTACAAAGATAGACCTTGACAAATGTAATTTGTTCAATAAAATTAAAAGGATGCACAATAATTCACTTAGACAAAGAGACTTGAAAGGGGACGTCATCGGCAGCAGTGCCGTCCATCATTCCAAATGATCAGCTGACTTTGAAGAAGTGGCAGGTGCTCCCCTTTTGGAATGCAACATAGAAATAGTATTGAGAAAGGGGGCGGGGGGAGGGAAGGGAGCTAGGGATTGGAGCAATGCTTTATTCAGGCAATAATTATACAAATTAGATCTCTGAAAGCCAGAGAATGACTGTGCCTTGAACCCTGTCTGTGTGCATAGAACAATGGGGAAATTAATAATTAAATCTATTACATATGCTCATAATTTAATACAAAAGATACCTCAGTAGTTCAAACACTCCTGTATTTTCATTTGAATAAGGCTTTCACACATTCTCCTCATTATATATGTATTATATTTTAAATTTAACAGCTTATTTTGTTGCCTTTATGTTTGGATTAATAAGGGCACACTTTAATGCACTAATGGGGAATTGCATTAGCTGGCTTTGCAGACAGAACTTTGAAAAATCTCCAGTTTGCCGAGGGTGAAATCAATTTGCCCCATAACGTGTTGTCTCGCAGACACATCTGGAATCTTGGAAGAATAGCTCCCCTCTACAAGCTTCTGATTCGGGCCTCTGTATCTGTGAGGGGACCCCCAGAGTGGAAGCCTGAACAGACCCATCGAGATCAAATTCTGGATTCTGCACCCTCGTAGCCAGCTAACATAGTTTCCATGCCTGGCCCCGGTTATTTTTCCAGAGAACAAAAACAGTTTTCTTATGAAAAAGTAAAGGTTTATTTTGAATCCAATAATTCATTTTCTCTTTTGCTTTCTCACTCCTTCTCTCCCCCTGGATCTCCTCATATTCGCATGTTTAACTATTCATACTACCTCTGCACCACAGAGAGTGGCAAAGAAAGGAAGTTAGAGAAGAAAAGAGGAAGTATATCTTATGGTGAGTGCTGAGGTGCCAATTAACAGCTCCAGAGTGACGGGGGCTCTGGGACAGGAGGAGCGTGGGGTGAACTGGAGTGAGCAATGGAACCCAACGGAGCAAAATGAGTTCACAAAGTGGGGGTCCCAAGGACCTAGAAAATTGTGACTTCATCCGGTTCTAAGTGTTTAACCAACGGAAAATAGCCATCCTTCTGCAACCCAGAAAAGAAACAAAGAAGTCAGTCGCTGAGAGAGAAAGAGAGGAAACAACCAAAAGATCACTTCTTGGAGGGAAGCGGCTGCCAGCCTACCCGGGGCCCAGGCGGGCGGGAGGCGCGTGCTGCTGCCACTGCGGTGTGACAAGGAGTTTGTGCCTTCGGAGGCGCGCCAAATCCAATGATGCTAATTGCATTGCAGATTTCTAGCATCATTAGCAATTCTTAAAATTACATTTGCCCAGCTTAAGTTCTCTCCTTCCAGCTTGGAAGACGGAGGGGGCAGGTCTCTGAAGGGGGTATGGGTTACAGAGAAACTCAATTGGACAGGTTGGCTTCAGGTGTGCAGGTGGACGCTGGCCTGCGGGGATTCACAGTCCAGGAAAAGTACTTGTTTGTCTTCTTTTACTAGTAAATGCCAATAGCTGGGAGAATAAACAAAGCCCGCAGTTAAATGGGCCTTAAAGGAACGCTGGGAATTTGGGAAAGAAAAAAAGCCTCACGGAATATGGTGGGAACCAGCCCTGTGGTGAGGAGCACCATCCAAACACCCTGAGCAGTGGAGTAACTTGCATTTGAAACAGTCCGTACAGAAATAACCACTTCTACCCTCTCCTTTTGTTTGTTTGTATTTAAAACAAATGAACAAAATCCAGATGAATTGGTGTTTTGCTTTGTTTCCTGAAGGAGAACATACTTGCTCGTTAGGAAAGCTATACAGCCAGCTCCAGAAACAAAAGCTCAACCCATGTCTCCTTTGCTAAGGATACTTCCTTCCGCATCCCCCGCTCAAGGGTCTCAACACCTTTGGGAAGGGAAGGGACACCCCAATAGCCTAGAGCAGAGGTCAGAACCTGCCTCTCCCAAGGCTGCTGGCACCGAGGCCGGGGCAGGGCTCTGTGCAGCTTCCACTTCCATTGTGGGGTCACTGAGAAGCCTCCAGTACCACACCCTCATGGGGGTGGGGGTGGGGGTCTCTACTCTGAATCTAGCAACAGGAAGGGGCTGGCTCCTGGATATTTTTCCCAACAATTTGTACCATGCAATTAAATTGCTTAGCAATCGCGCGCGCGCGCACACACACACACACACACACACACACACACACATTACCAGTATACACAGTTCTATGTATAAACACACACATAGAAGGAATGGATAGCTTTTAATTAGGCCGTCTTTTTAAAATAATTAAGCCAGTATTAATGAATGACTGTTTAAGGCTTCTGGCAAGCAAAGGAGCCTCTTTCGCAGAGCATTAATAAATTGAGTCATTCGCACTAGAGGAGGCCTAGGTGTATCAGTCACGTTCATAGCAGTTATCAACAAACGAGCTCAGTTCTCTGCCGTGGGCCAAGGACCACAGGGTCAAGAGCACTGAGACAGAAGCAGCAAGTCCGGCCTCTTCTGCTCACTGTGGCGAGTCCTCAGAGCTGTGGTAGGGTTCAGGGTCCCCAGCTGGAGGAAAGGTTAGTTTCCTCTCAGGTGGGATCACAGCAGAAATCCAAGTCCATTTGCTCTGGCCCTGGAATGACAAGGTGACCCACCGCAGGGCTAGTGATATTGATATCGTCAGAGCTCCCTGGAGCACTGTGGGTGGTGTTCTGGTCTGGGAACACCCCAGACTGGTGTCCCAGGGTCCTCGTTTACAGAGTAGAAGAAGATATGTGCTTGTCAACCCCATCTATATATATAAAAGCCTAAGAGACCATTCGACTGGTAGCTATGATGCACACTGACCACCAGGGGGCATACACTCAACACACAGGCATGGAAACATGGAACAGACTGATGAATCTCAGAGGCAAGCGGGGAGGGAGGAGGGGGAAAGGTGGGAAGAGATTAACACAGATCTTATATGCATACTAGAGGCCCGGTGCACATGGGGTCCCTCAGACTGGCCTGTAGGGATCAGGCCGAAACAGCTCTCCAAACATCCCCCAAGGGGTCCCAATTGCGAGAGGGCGCAGGCCAGGCCAAGGGACCGACCGGTGCAGAAATCCATGCACCAGGCCTCTGGTAATATCAATAAGATAAAAACAGACAGCATTACTCAAATGTGAGGTGTTGACTGTGTTACTATTCTAAACACTTAAAATGAGGGTAACACACCTTCAACTAATACAAAGTTATATGTCAATTATATCTCAAAAAAACTGGAAGAAGAAAAAAGAAGGTAGTCTTTCTCTAACAGCACATGGAGCATCTCTGCGGAACAAAACCAGAAATTTAAATAGGGCTTTTCTTTATATTTCTGGCAGCAAGAGGTGTTTAAAGGCAAAGGAATGCCTGGTTTGATATTTAGTCAAAGGAATGGTTTACACAGTCTCGTACTGAGAATCTTTACAAACTCAACCGACTTTCACCAAAAGCAAAGAGATGGACTTCCTGCAACTCACAGGTCCATTCTAATGAGATGGTTCAGCAATACTTGGTGTCCCAGAATACTTCATGAAAGGCAGGGGCCAGTGTGAAATCCCTGGGATACAGGGAGGAAGCTGACATACCCCCCTCCCACCCTGTTACACTACATCCTTTACCCCCAGTGTCTTGGATACGTCATGAATTCTTCCTCAAGAGTCCCAGGAGAAGAAAATAAGCCATTTACCCTCTCTCCCTTCCTGTGGAAGAGAGGTCATTATAGCCCTGAAACAAAGGAAAACACTAATAATTCGGGGAAAGTTTCTCCTGGTCCCAAGAACAGTGGGAAAAGCAGGTACTCTGGCTGTCTGTAAAATCAGCTTGGTGAAAGACTAGAGCAGTGGCTTTGATTGCATCCTGCTAACAGCTATCATATATGAGCTGTGTTATTTGCCAGGAGCGCACCTCACCTGCAACAGTTCATAATCCTCACCACACCCCTATGAGGTAGCGGTAGTGTTCCCATTTTACAGAACTGGGAACTGAGGCTCAAGAAGTTAAGCAACTTACCCCACAGTCCCAGAGTTCTCAGACACCACAAGGCCTGCTGTACCCCTTCCTAACCCCCTCTCTCTCCCTTTTTCTTCTGCAGGCTCTTCACACTCTGCCTAGTGCCTCTTTGACCTCACAGCTGAGGCTAATGTAGTTGAAATTTCCATCAACTTCCCGGGTCTGAACTAGGGCATTGTAAACTTCTGGGGCAGAAAGAGAAACTGCCCTTATTCTCAAATCACTTCCAGACCCGACCGCCCTGGTAAACAGGAAAAGAATACCTGAAGTGTGTTCTCAGCACTAAGAAAGAAGAAAAGTGGCCAAATGTGGCTAAATTCCTGATTATCCAGAATCTAGAAGTGGAGGGAAGCCTGGGTATGGAGAGGGACCCCCGATAGGGCCTAAATCAGTGCCTGGCGAGTTAAGACCAGAGATGGGTCCTCCTTCTGAGTAAGGAGCCGGGAAATTGGTGAGGTGAGGGGGAGCAGGGAACCGAGAGCCCAGTGGGGCCGAGAAGACCTGTGTCTGGATGGGGCCTCAGTAATGGGTGAGGTGTAAATGGTGACACACACCGGACGTGAGAGGACAGCAATTGACTTTGAAGTGGAGACGCTTGCAGCGGTTCTCAACCTGTGGGTAGCGACCCCTTTGGCGGTCCAACGACCCTTTCACAGGGGTCGCCTAAGACCATCCTGCATATCAGATATTTACATTACGAGTCATAACAGTAGCAACATTACAGTTATGAAGTAGCAACGAAAATAATTTTATGGTTGGGTCACAACATGAGGAACTGTATTTAAAGGGCCAGAAGAGCCCTAACCGGTTTGGCTCAGTGGATAGAGCATCGGCCTGCGGACTCAAGGGTCCCGGGTTCGGTTCCGGTCAAGGGCATGTACCTTGGTTGCAGGCACATCCCCAGTAGGGGGTGTGCAGGAGGCAGCTGATCGATGTTTCTAACTCTCTATCCCTCTCCCTTCCTCTCTGTAAAAAATCAATAAAATATTTTTAAAAAATAAAGGGCCAGAAGATTGAGAACCACTGCTTGAGAGACAATTGGAAATCTCTATGGGATCTGGAGAGGGAAACAGACAAGTGGAGGTGCCACGTGCCCCCTCCCGGCCCGCCTCCAGGGGGCGCTCGCGGTGGCAGGGACGGAGGAAAGGCCGGTCCAGGGGTCCAGGACGCACTGGCCGGGGAGCTTCCGGGACCTTCCCCGGCACCTGCACTCCCTCCCACTTCACGGTCCTCCCTGCAGCCTCTCTTGGCCAACTCCGAGGCGCCCATCAATCACACAAGCCGAATTATATCACGTCTGCAGTCTTTTAAAAAAAAAATAGGGGGATGTTTCTCGCACCCCCAAAGCCTTGTAACGCTGCCATTCAAAGCAAATGAACAGTTAATAACACAGGGGTCCGGAGCCAGGGCAGCCAATGACGAGGGACAAACACAATTAGCCCTCTGGCGTTTAAAATGTTGAATTGGAAAAACCTAACACCAAATGGGTCACGACTTTCGTCGCCGGGCCGGGCAGCACCAGGCCTTCCCCCGAGAGGAGCCCTGCTTTTGATGGGAGGACAGGTTGGCGAGAGGTGCCCCGCGGGAACCCTGACCCTGCGTGAAAGCCCAACAATTCCGCGGCGCCGCGGCCAGTCCTCCGGCTGTGACCGTGCCTGAGGCCGCGTGGATGTTCCTATGGCGCCACCTAGCGTCCGAGGCGCAGACAAAGCCCTGGCAAAGGCTGCAAAGACAGGCTGAGATCACTGGAAACCAGTCCTGGGACCTCACACTCAGGCCCCGAGCTTGGAATGGGGCTGTCATCCTGTGGACCAGTAGCATCCTTCGCCGGGCAGAATGCCTCCCAAGACCCCTGTTCCTGCAGCCACCAAACCTAAATAGAAATTACCAAAATGAGTGGAATAAGTGACTCTTCGCGATGAGACATCCATGAGGTGATGTCTGGTTTTTCCGAAATACAATGGCAAGTCAATTATTAATTCATCCAGAAAAAATATAGATGCTGTCATCGTATAAACTTGAGTCCTGAGCAGAACTGAGCCTCAGAACATCTGGAGGGGACACGTCTGAGAAACACCGAACTAGAACGTTGGGTAGGACAAAGAAGAATCTTCACTTGTTATTTAATGGTAAATTGAAGACCTCCAGAGAAGATGATTCCACAGTGTAATGGAAAGAATAGAGATCTGGGAGCCAGGATACTGCCTGCCCCCAATTATCTGTGTGACCTTGACCTGGGGCAGACAGTTGTTAGCTCTCACAACAAGGCTGCGAGGTCTGGGCTGTTATCTCCACGTGATAGATGCGGAAGAAGGGGCTCCAGGAGATTACCCACGACCAGACAGCAGGACGGAGTCAAAGCCAAGCTTCAAACCCATGTCTGCCCATCGCTACAAAGCACATTGCTCTCACGAGAGATTGAACCCTTCTGTGTTTGGGCTTCTTGGGGTACAGTATGAAGGGGCTGTGCCACGTGGTGACTTGGCTCCTTCCAGATAACAGCGAACTCTGGTTTGAAGTCTCCCCGGTCCCTTAAAACCCACTTTTAGTGCTCACCCCGTGGTGATAACAAAAGGGCCTTTTAAAGGATTTATCCACCTATTTAAAAAAAGAAAAAACATTGGATTTTCTTTTTGGTTATGGGCCAAAGAACACCAAAACAGACGTGTTGAAACATCAAACCTCTTTTGAAATTTAGGACGGTGTGGGGAGAGGAGAAAGCCCGCACGGGGCACGGAGTGACGACTTACGGACCAGTGGCAGGAACCAGACCTGCGGGGCAGTGCTTATCTCTTGAGCCACTGGCCTCCCAGGGGATAATTGGCCTCTGATAATTGTTCGGACTTGATAAATACATGAAATCGGGCAGCCAACAGTTTATCTAGTTACCAGTTCAGATCTGGACAGAACTAGATTAAGGAGTCAGGCACATTTGCAATAACGTCAAAGATAAACCCTTCCTATCTGGGGCCGTTTATCTCCTCCCCAAGGGTCATGCTGCCCAGTAACTGCCACCTCCCAGAGAAGGAAGGGAGAGAGACACCCAAGGGCTCCGAATGGGCCTTGAGCCCTCTCTTCCTGCTAACCCTCCCAGGCACCAGCTTGAGAGCGAGGGGGTGGGACTCTGCCCTTGCCTGGGAAGCCTGGGAAAAGGTTAGCAAGATGGGAACTGGGCAATTCGACCCTAAAGCCAAGTTCTCTTGACTCTGAAGTCAGCGTTTTCCTCATAGGTTCCTCCTCTACCTCTGGGCGGCAAAGAACTTCAAAAGTCCCAGCAAAGATAAGACCAGGAACTGCAGATCAGACTTCAGACCCTGCTGGGCCACGAACTCCCTCTGTGACCAAAGGCAAGTGAAAACTTCTCTTGGCCTCAGTTTCCTCAACTCTAAACTCAGGGTTTGAAGCTAAATAATCTCTAAGGCCCGACTGAACCATCTCATGAACCTGAATCAAACCAGCTAGTACGCTTTAGGATTTCAAAGAGGCCACGGATCTCCCTGAAAGACCATCTTCCTTCCCTCACTTACATTCTTCCTCAGTTCCCTGCCCAGCCTGCATTCCTCTCGTCCCCGGCCACACCTCTCTTGTTCCCTGGTTACACCCCTCCATCCTCAAACTCCTCTGAGTGGCAGCAACTGGCTCTCGCAGGCCCTGAGGAGCACAAGCAGAGCAGCGCCTCCCTCCTCCCTCGTCAGCAGCCCTGCTGGGAGGACCTCTGAGCGCTTCTCAGGGTTGGAGACACCTTTTATTTGCCATCTGTTCTCAAGAAGTGAGGCCGCCTGTTGTCATTTCCCTCCTCCCCATCAGCAGACTCTTCTTTCGGCTTCCACAGCATTCTGTTGGGAGATGGCAGGAGTCTTCCTCAGACAAGGTCACTTGGGGTCAGATGCTGAGCCGCCCCTCCCCCCCTTGGGTGTACCCCCTCCCTCACGCCCCAGCCCTGCAGCAGGGGTTTCCATTAGGAAGGAATGGACTCAGCGGGCAGCAACCACAAGTCCTCTTCAGCTGCCCTGAAGCCTTGGTCTCTTTAAAAACAAACAAACAAAAAAACAACTTCAGGAGCCCTTTGGGAACCCATAATTGAACTGTATTCTGGGGAGAGAAAAAACAAAAACTTTTAAAAGAAAGGGATAAAGTACTGTTTTCCCAAGGGCCTTCTCCCCCTAAAGAAACTCCAGGTAAACTAGGACTCCTGCTCCTGATTTCCCTTTGGTTGTAGAAGAAGCAAGGAAAGGGTACCGCCTTTTCTGGAAGGAGAAGTCCCAGGGGAGGTGACAGAATGTCTACTTCCTTCAGTGCGTCTCCATGGGGCTGGCCTCGCAAGAAGCATGTATAGGTGCTGCTTCATTGAGTGGATGCAACTTTCTGGTGGGTTTATGCAGTATACTAGTAGTAGATTATAAAACTAGATGCCGGCAATGGCTAACCAGTCCTCCCCACCCTTCAGACCAGCCCCACAGCTCTCCCCTCCTCTCCGCCCAGCCTCAGGCCCAAGCGAAGGGAGGA